AATCAATCAATCAATCAAGCAATCAAGCAAGATGTTGATTGATTGATTGATTGATTGTTTGATTGATTGTTTGTTTTATTTTGTGTTGGTGCAGGCGACATCCCAGACCGATCAGCGTCGCCGGCGGATCCCGTTGACCAGTGCCTAAGGACGGGGGTTCAACGAGAGCAAACGGAGTTTCAACGGGGTTTCAACGGGGTTTCAACGGGGTTCCAACGGGGTCCGGAATTTTCAACGGGGTTTCAACGGGGAGAAACAAGGCGGGTGTTACCTGGTTGGGACGGGGCAGGCCGGGAATACGTCCTTCTCTGTGGCGCCGCTGGGCACGAGGTGTCGGAGGGGAGGCGCTTACGACCGGACGGGCGCGGCTTTGAGGGGGGTTCACAATGCCGCGAAAACAGACGCGCGAACATGAGCCCACGCCCGAACAAGTGCAGCAGGATTATATGCGCAAATCTGTTGTGTACCGTTACATTGTTGTCGGCCAGAAGGTTGACAACAGGGGGGTTAATATGCTACGGTGCACCTTCTGCAATAAGGTGTTTCAAGGAACCCAATTCTACGCAACGAAACACTTCACCCAGCAGAATTATTKCAAGAAGGTGTCCGATGATGCATTGTACCAGATTGCGCAGAAATGCACACACCGCTTCGAGGCCGATCAGGTAAAGAGGGTGCGGCGGTTTGCACACGAGCGTGGTTTCGATGTCCCGCGGTTGGGTGCGATGGGTGGCGAGGCGGAGCATCCTGCACAGGGCGTGGGTGAGGGAGAGGATACCGAGCGTTATGCGGAGGGAGGTGTTGCGAGATATGGGGAGGGTGCGGGTGCCGCGGAGGAGGACGAGGCACACGTTGACCTTGAGGTTGGCGTGGCCGAGGGGGAGCGGACACCGAGGGGAGAGGGGGGCGTGCCGAAGTCCGATCCGATGGCTCATCAGAGGGCGGTGGACGGGGAGCGGAGGTGCGGGAAGAAGGCCGTCCCGCCTGAGACGACATGCACGCCGAGTTCTTCGAAGAGTGCTGTTCCTGATAGAGCAAGGACGCCGGGTTCTTCGAAGAGGAAGGAGGGGGGTGCACARCTTTCTGGCACCAGTGCAGGGAAGAGGCTGCGGCAACAGAAAATGGTGGACACGTATGGTGGTGAGTGGATTGGTGAGTGGAGGAAGGCATTATTTCGCTGGGTGTATTCCAGCGGGATTGCCTTCAATGCCTTCCGCAACAAGCCGTACCGAGACCTCCAGCAGGTTGCTCTTCGGCAACCTGGTGGAGCACCTCTTCCCGTGCTTCCATCCCACAGCGAGATCGCAGATATGCGAACTGTGGAGATCCACCGCGAGCAGTTGGCAGAGGAGTTGGACGAGGTTAGGCAACCATTATGGGTGAGTGGCGCCACCCTCCTCTCTGACGGGAGGAAGTCACGAGATGGGCGACCGATCGTGAACTTCCTCGCAGCTCGGTCTCGAGGGGTCATCATGTACACGACGATCAACGGATAGGGGGAGCCGGACGATGCGGTGCACGTCCTGCAGAGATGGGTCGCCATCTTTCATGATTTCAGATTTGGTGGCCCACAGCGGGTCAATGCTATATGCACTGACTCTGCCTCTGCATACGTGGGGGTTGCGAGGGCTTTGGCCTCGCCATCTATGCCCCCTGAGCTGAGGAGGATCACTTGGCTCCCGTGTTGCGTCCATGTCTGCAACAAGTTGTTGTCAGACATTGGCACGATCTGCACCTCTTTCGTGGACACGATCACGCATGCCCGAGTTCTGGTGGTGTTTTTCAAAACCCACMAGGCCGCTCTCAGCTTCTTTCGGAAGCGGAGCGCGGCGTTGGGCCTCGTGCTTTCATGCGAGAYGCGCTTTGCGTCCGTGTACTCCATGTTGGAGAGGTTGCTCACTCTGCAGGATCGTTTGCAGGGCATGATGACAGCGGAAGACGGTCGGGCATGGGCTAGGATCCCGTGGTCCCCCGACGTTTGCGACATGGCGCGTTGGGTGCGTCGACAGATCAGGTGGTCCCCTTGGTGGGAGAGGATGCGTGCCATCAAGCACGTCATGGATCCTGTCATGGACTTGCTGAGGCGGATGGACCGTGGGGGGCAGTTCATGTCCCTCGTTGTAGAGTGGACTCGGGATCTTGCACGCCTTGTGCGGGACGCTTGCATTCCTCTTGGCCAGTCCTTTTCTGACCGTATCATGAGGCGTGTGCAGACCCGTATACAGCACATGCTGGAGCCCGCACACTGCGCCGCGTTCGTACTGAACCCCCGTCGCCGGAATAATTAGTACTTCTCCGCGCAGCTCGACCGGTACCACACTTGGCTTGTTCGACAAGCCAAGAGGTATCTGTTGTCTCAGACGGGCCACGATGAGTCGGGTGGTCGTTACCTTGAGGTATGTCGGCAGTTCGAGGACTTTCACATGCAGCAGGGTAGGTATGGGTCTTGGGGCGGGGCAGAGGGCCGCGCTCGAGCGCGTAGTTGCAGCGGAGACTGCGAGACGTTGGAGTGTGCGTCGTGGTGGTCTCAGTACGGGGGAGAGGCGCCCGATTTACAGCAGTGCGCTCTTCGTTTGATGCACATGTGGTCCTGCGCCTCTCCAGCGGAGAGGAACTGGGCGGTCCACGAGGGTATCCATACGAAGAAGCGTAATCAGTTGGCCTTCGAGAAGGTCGTTCATCTTGTTGAGATTACCGCAAATGTGCGGTTGATGGAGTATAGACGTGCAGGTTGTGGATACGTCCTCCCTTGGCAGCGGGACGAGGGCATGCTTGACGCTAAGGCAGGATTGGACGTGGAGCCTGTGCGCTCGGGGACGAGGAGTGGGATGACGGAGGAGGAGATCGAGGAGCAGGCTKCCCTCATTGCGCGCGATCCCATTGGGTCTTCTGCGCCGCCCCCTGTTGAGTCTGTTTTCGGTGCTCGTGCGACTATCTTCCGCCCATACCCCAGGGACGATGACTCTGCGGACGAGAGGGAGTCAGAAGCAGCGGACGACCCGATGCTTCCCATCCCGCGTGAGATTGATGAGTTGCACGAGGGGGGGCGATGTGCGTGACGAGAGGATGCACACCGCGCGAAGGGCGGCAGAGCAGCGAGATATGGATATGATGGGGGGCAACGAGTTTTGGGGATCTTTCGGGGGCACGGAGGAGAGATCACCCACTGCCGCGCGGGAGGATACGCGTCCTTGCACGACCTTGCAGGAGGAGACGCCTGCTCCCATGACTGCGAGTGAGGAGTCGAGTCCTGCCACGACAATGCGGGAATGGACGACTGTTTCGTCGACCGTGCAGGAGCAGACGCCTGCTCCCACGACCACGAGAGAGCAGACGAGTATTCCCGCTACGCATTCCGGACCCTCGTCCGTGTCGCCTCTTTCGCGTCATTCTATCCCAGGATTCCCAGCATCCGCTCCGCCCGCTCCCGTTCGGCATGACGAGCGCTCACCTGCACCGGTTGGGAGGGAGGACTTGGGATCCTCGTTGCGCAGCCGCGGGCATGAATCATTGTTTAGCGTAGCCCGTGAGCTCGTTTTGGACCCAGGTGCATCGAGCGACTTGGGGGAGATGGGTGTTCATAGCGGGGCACCACCAGTGGAGGAGAGGGAGAGACGAGCGGAGGAGCACGGAGCCGCCGGAGCGGGTGGAGTGAGGGTATTCGGGGTATGGAGGAGGAGGTAGCTGGAGTAGTGGGGGGCGTGGTGGAGGTAGATGATGGTGCGCACGTCGAGAGAGAGGAGGGCGTGCTGCCATCRGAGGTTGAGAGAGAGGACGATGTGGTGAGGATGCAGGAGGCGACGATGAGGGACGATGAGGGAGAGGAGGCTGTGGCAGGGTAGACGAGAGCGTGGCTGGGGTAGATGATGGTGCTGCCCAGGTTGAGATRGAGGAGGATGTGGTGAGGGCAGATGCTGCTGCGTTGGTTGGGGGAGAGGAGGGTGTGGTAGGGGGGGACGTCGCCCATGGTACAGGAGAGGGAGGCGCCCACCTTGACCCGATCGTCCAGCGTTTCGTCGATGACGAGATGGGTCCCGCACTAGTGGGTTTGACCCCGGGCACGAGGAGGGCACTGGAGGCGTCGCCATCAGGACAGAAGGGGGCGTCGGGGCTGGGGCTGGAGGATTTCATGGACATGTCTTTAGGGGATTTGCCCACCCCTGCTCACGCAGAGAGAGAGGATGTGGCGCGTGCCCTAGCGGCCGCTGGGTACTCCACACAAGAGATCGAGCAGGCATTTGCAGGACGCTCCAGGAGAGAGACAGACTCGCTTCAGCAGGGGTGCGAGGAGGTAGTAGAGCAGCCACAGGAGGAGCGTGAGGATGCACCCCCTGCGGATATCCACGGAGGTAGTAGTTCGTTCGTACCATTCACGGGCTTGCAGCTGACGACGACGATGCGGCCAATTCGGCCGTGTGTGTAGGGGTCAGGTTATGGGGAGGAGGCATTTGTTCAGGTACCACCGGTCATAGTCGTAGATTTAGGATCTGAGGCAGTTCTTCATACAGCGGTTACTGGGCGGCGAGCTCCTCAGGATACAACTCGCCCATTGGATTTCGCGGAGCTCGCACGGGCTGTTGTGCGTGACGTGATGCAGCGGGAGGACACCGACCCTAGCAGACCACTTATGCCTCCTCCTCTGAGATCACGTCACAGCGATTCCCCCTCGACACCAGTCGGTCGGCCCCCCGGTTCACCATCCACGCCCACCAGACCCAGGGTTCGTGACACGACGGCCATAGGGAGCCTCCCTCTTGACACGTCGTTATTCGGGAGGACGGATATCGACCTGGAGTCCGTACGTCGGGTCACAGTACACACACTGCACGACAACAACCAGGTTTGGGTGGGGCTGACCCTGGGAGGGGTGCGTCGAGGGAGGTCATGGCGGYAGTATCTCAGCCGCGAGATGTTCGCGGGGTTGGACAGGCCGGGTGTACCTTGCAGGCCGCTTTGGCAGCAGCAGCACGTGMTGTGCGTGAGCAGACATCGCGCAGGAGCGGAGTCGCTCGTACGAGTTCCATGCCTCAGATGATACCTGCCACGGGGGATGCCGCGTTGGAGGAGTCTTCTGGAGCCGAGGGGTTGGAGATGCCGCGCGGTTCTCGTCGTGAGAAGACCGTCGCAGAGGTGACTCAGGTGAGTGCTAGGCTTGTTCGGGTGAGGATGGGGGCTGCCCATGTGACCGTGGTGGAGGACGATCCCGAGACGGAGCCTGCACGTGAGGAGGCCCCACAGGAGGGTGATGAGTACATGGACGACGAGGAGCGTGAGGAGGAGGAGAGCGACAACGGGGATGATGACAGCTACCACGACGACGACGACGAGCCCTCCCCTCCACCACGACATGGTTCTCGTAGACGACGTGGCTCTCGTAGAGGACATGATGACGTAGACGACCCGTCCCCTCCAGGGCGGCGGGAGACGAGGAGTCAGAGGAGGCGAGGGTCATCCGTTGTGACAGCGCCGGGGCGAGGGAGTGTTTTGTCGACACGCAGCACGAGTGGGGCGAGGCAGAGAGGTAGTGGTAAGGGGAAGGGAAGTCGACGGTATTGACAGCTTCGTTCCCCTTCCAGTGCTTCGACGACGCCTTTATGTTGTTTGTGCTTAGTGTTATGACGTTTTTATATATTGTTTAGGATGATGTACATATAGTTAGGTTTTAGGGACTTCGGACCAGTTCATGGACTTCAGCATGCAGGTAGACTGGGTAGTGTCGTCGACAGTGTTTGTTTGTTT